AACTGACTCATCCCAGGAATAACGATTTCAAGCACTGGGAAAATAAAACTGGCCTTTTTTGTTCCATAACCTTGAACTCGAGACCTTGCTGCTCCTCACTGTACAGAGGGGTGATGGTCTCTGCAATTAGAGGGCTGTCTAGGTGCACGAGGAGAGAGCTGGGCGTTTGTTCATTGTGACTTTAACACAATGTCCACTGTTATTTCCTCATGAGCAAACTGACGAAGGATGAGGCAGGTAAGTGGAAAGGGATATGGGGAGAAACAGGCTGAACAGAAGGTCTAGAAGTACATTATGTAATGTTGGGTGTTCTGTAGAGGTCATTAGGAACTGATAAATCCTGGCATATGTTAATTTTTCTCCACTAAAATTCAAGCTTTTATACAAACAATGTTTTTTGAGGAAATACTTGTTAAAGTATTTGGATCTTCAAAACGTACCAGTTACTCTATCTATAAGATAGTAAAAAACAGCAAAATATCCTCATGACTATATTTCCTTAATAAAAAAATTGACAAAGTTGTAACTATGTAAGTATGTGTGTATTGACTTTCATTTCTAACACAGATTTAATTGCAAAGGACTGGTAAAATAGAGATCAAAGCATCTACCAAGCTGCTCACTTAGCTCTATAAAAGCATATGGTACTTAGAAGACATAAGAAAATGATAGTAAATAGAGATTTACAATGTAATTTGTAATGGAAGTGTAATTGGGGGCTCATTGTACTAAATCCTGTTGAGGAGAAAAAGCCTTGGACTCTGCCTGGAGAGAGAACAGGATGAAAGACGGAGTTTTATTGCACTTTTGCCTAAAGAGAAGATGAATAACTGAGTCACACAGAAAATCTGAATCAGAACTGAATATGAAAGCTGGATCTGAGTCCTAATCTGATGTCCTCGTGCTAAAACAGTCTTTCCTTGTTTTATAAAGAGAAGGGGAAAAGCTATATTCCTAATTACCTCTGTACTATGCATTTGAATTAAGGAACGTAAAGGAGTGGACTGCACTGTGCAAGCAGCAGAGGACTGGCATGAAGATAGATGGTGTCTGGGATGAGATGGGGTAAAGGGAAGAAGCAAGAGGGTTTTTTCCATTGCAGTGAGTCATGTAAAGCAAGAAAGCACACAGAAGCTGAGGATTTTTTCCTTTCTCTTTCAGCTGTCACGAAGAAGCCATCTCAGCATCCATGCAATTAAAGCAACCTGGGCTCCTTCTGTGCACGGGGAGTAATTGTTTCTTGCTTGCAGAGGGAAGTGCACACACACGTGCAGGCGCACACTTAAGAATGGTTTTTAAATGACATATTTGACTTCCTGGCCCGTTTGACAATTCTCTTCAAAAATAGCCCTCATGGCTGCAGGCTGGCAGAGCTGCTCCTGCCCTGGTTTAAATGACAAAACTCAATTAGAGTTTGAATCTGTTGCACTGAAATGGAATTGTCTCTTGCAGGCAGAGCTCGGTCATCATAGATGCGACGTCGGGAGCTGTGGAGGCTGTGCCTGTGGGGAGGACAGGCTGGGGGGCCTCTGAGCTCCTTGGAGCATGGATTTCCCATCTGCTGTTGCTCTGGAAAGGGAACTCCATTGCTGTTCTCCACATGTATACAAGGATCTGCTGCTTCTTTGTCAGCTTTTTCTGGCTGACCACCTCCACTCTTGAGGAGGCCCAGGGGTGGCAGGGACCTGCACTTGACTATGTTCATGAAGACAATCTCCCTTAGTTTTGCCCATCTGGCTTTGCACAAACCCCCTTCCCCACCCAGGCACTTGTGAGGATTTGGGCTGAGCTGGAGCTAAAGCAAAGGCAAAATGCTTGACTTTTTGGTAACAGGTTCATAACAGGAGATTTCCCCAGTCCTTCACTGCAGTCTCATATCTCTCCTTGTTGTCCCATAGCAGGCTATTTCCAGACATGGAGGGAGACACTTCAATACCACCTCTGCTCGTTGTAAATCTGAGCTGACCTCAGCATTTTTCTCCTCAGATGTATGTCTAGAAATCAGTGACTGCCCCATGCCTCTCTCATCTGGGATCTCAGCCTAACCTTGGTCTATAAATCACTTGCATTGAACTGTTCCTCATAAATAGCAGCTTCCAGCATGTCTTCTTTCATCTGTTGCTTGTATTTGTGTGCGAGAGGCAGAAAACAGGTCTAATTTACATCACTGCAGCTGGCTGCTCCTGACCTAGAGACTCAGCCAACTGGGAATGTGTGTCTGAAAAGGGGCCAGGCTTGGTCTTCCTCTGGCTGCGCCTATCTCTACACTGGCTATAGGGAAAAAGTACCCCTGACCCATTGCTCAGAAACCTGCTGGACCTACCTGCAGTTGGTGTTGTGTACCACAAGAAGGATGTACTTAGCTAAGCAGTGCAGCAGACTCCAGCGATCCTTTTCCAAGACTTGCAGTGCAGAGATTTAAGTGAATTTATGGAGAAAGACCAGGAAAATGGCTCATGCATTGGTAGGATGGAGCGGCAGGCAGGCAGGGCCTGCCAGTAGGTGCCTGACATACCTGGAGATGTGTATGCCCCTTGATGATTGTCAGAGCTCTTCAATCAGGAGCAGGAATAAATCCCACTGAGATGGGCAGAAGAGATTTACCATGGACTAGTCTTTTTTTTTCTAGAAACAAGATCACCTCAAGCACAATATAGTCGGGGTCAATGTGAAAATGAGCCAATTCACCCCTGTGCTGCCCCAAGAGAGGACAAAATCTTTTTTTTACCCATGAGGATGTGCTCCAGGGCACATGCTGTCTGACCTTCCAGCTGTCAAAAATGAACCCAAACCTCAAGATGTGGCTAGTTCTCCTGGAGACTCTGAATGAGAGAGATGGGGTAGATGAACTCAGTGTGGTATTTTCCCTATTTGCTTATTCCTGAAACCACAAAACGGGTTAAAAGGAAGAGAGCGGATCAGCAAAGAAACAGAAACAGTGAAACAAAGCCCTGGCTGATGTCCAGTTCCATGTGACAGATAGGGCAAGTTGTGTGCCCAGCCCCCTTCATGGAAGTGCTCGGATCTCAGGCAGAGCACCTCTCCTTGGCCAGGACACGGTGTGAGTGATCCTACTATAAACTTCTTTCTGACAAAGCTCCCTGGGAACCAAGCTATACGAAAAGATATGAGACAAATCAGCAAAGCCTTGATGGCAGAAAGGCAAAGATTGAGAACACCCCATCGCTGCTCAGGCTGCAGCTCCTGCAGCGGATGTGGTGATTACTGCACCTGGGATTGTGATGGGATGGGAACAGCAGGGGCAGTTGGGTACAAGGATCAGACCCAGGTGAGAATAGCTTCTCGTCAGACACTGCAGACTCCATACATAGCAGGCTCTGCGTGCAGCTGAAGCATCAGTGAACTCAGAATAGAAAATAAAATGAAACCGAGAGCTTTGCCTGCTCTGAAGTTCTTTAGAAAGAAGTAAGCAGGACTCAGAAGACAAGGCAAGCACTTAAAATGTGGCAGCTGTGAGAGGTCAGTCCCCTGGGCATGTCTGCAGTTCCACACCAGCTTGTTTGCCCCACTATTGCAGCAGAGGGGCACTCCAGTTCTCCGGACAACAGAGCAGCCAGTGGCAGCAGAAGAAGGGAGATCTCGTTGCCAGGCTGGGTCCAGGTAGAAGGAGTGCCACGAGCAAGCGGGTTTGGAAGAAGCAGGCCAGGAGCAATCCACTGCTGAGCACAGTGCCGTGTGGCGGGGCTGCCTGAGTGCAGCCACAGAGCCCTCTGGTGTTGTCTGTGGGGCTGCAGACCAGCCACGAGAGTCGTCGTTTGTGAGACCACAGAGTAAAACATCAATTAGCTTTTATTTTTTGTATTTTTTAATTTTATTTTTTTTTTTTTTTGTTTGTCTTTATGTATTTCTTTCTTTTCCTGTGCAGTTTTCAGCCTGTGGGTGTTCCTAGAAGGCAAGAATGAGAGGAATGGAATGATCCAAGTTTCCCTTGTTCAGCTCACCTTCCAGAGAGCTGTACACTGGGAGATTTGCACTGGAGCTCCGCCCCTGGTGTTACCTGTTATTAATTTGGTGATTTCCATGAACATATTTTGCCTCCTTGCCAGAAGAGGTCCAAACCCCTGTAACTTATTGCTTTAGCCAAAAGAAGTCTATGAAGGGTCAGTTTACTTACAGAAATCTTGTTGATGTTATTTTTTTCCTGAGGAAAACAAACATATTTTTTTTGTGAAAGGAAAGCGAAAAACATCCTTTGGCTGTACTGTCAGATCTCTGCAGTCTAAAAGTTCAGGCAGCTTTTCTTTGGGCAATGTTAGAGCCACAATGGTCTGTTCCACCCAACGCTTTGTGTACCGACCTTTGCAATCTTTGCTACAAAAGGAAAAACGGTGAGTAGAGAAGAGGAAAGAAAGTTTTACCAACCACCTTTTTCTTCCATAAAGTAGGAGTCGTGTTTATTCCCTTCTGTAGTGTTCTAAGCTTTTCTCCTTCACCTACAAAACACCTTAATCTCTTCAAGGCTTCAAATAACTCCCTTCACTGAGTATCTCCTTAAGGGAAGCCACCTCAGACAGGAGGATGTTTGAAGAACCAGGAGTTCTGCTCCAGTGGAGACCCCAGACACAGAATACTGTTTTCTTCTGACATTCATCAACCTCTGTATAAAAGTGTCTGGAAATCCTGGTTGATGTAAAAGATTACAGGACTTTATTTATGATGTCACAGGTATACTTCTTCCTCTTTTTAACGGTTTCAGAAAATGTGAAGCCAGAATGGACCACTAAATCATCATGATTTGCTCTCTGATGTATAGTGTCTTCTATTACATAGGCATTAATCTCCAGCAGGTACGACCCACAGAGTAAAAAGATGTCATCGAAGCAAAGAATACTTTAAAACTACAATGGAGGAAAAATGAGAGAAAATACTTCTGAGAAGATGTCCCCTACTGATAAAAAAGGTAAGTGTTGTCCTTCACTTTGTCTGCACTAAAACGTAATTAATCTGTCTTCACAGGAGTAAAATTCTTTCCTTCATTCAGATCCTGTGATCCTCAAGAACCTGGGAATCCAAACAGGTAATATGACTCAATCATCAAACTACAGTGCAAGGGAGCTCTTGTTTCAGTCATGTCTGTGAGTGTCAGCTGTGTGTCATAATCTGTTCTTTTCCTATTTATAACCTGACAAATGGAATCTTCCAGTATATGTAATGTGTTCAGAAGGTTAGGAGGTAGATGTGTGTTTTGGAACTTCCTATCCAACAAACTAGCCTGTTCTAATAATTCAAGATGTTGTCAAACGAAGTAAAATGATTCCCACGATGGTGCTGTGTATGTGTCAGTTTCTGTTGGAACAACATATTCTGCATTTTGGCTGCTTAGGATTGGATTTTTATAGTATTCCTACCCCTGCCCCGCACCCGTGTTGTGGTCAGCATGATCTTATTTGATCCATACTGGCAATGTAAATGCAAAAATGAGTACCTGTTTTAGCAGCCCCTTTAGTTTATACTGATGATACTTTTAACCTGAGCTTTTTCATTAACACTCTACCAAAATATTTGGATCGGAATTGCTGTTATTTTTCAAGATCTTCCGTTCAGAATAAAACTTAATTCATGAATGTATTTTTTACTCATTGCAAATTTGGGAAATAAGGCTTGGAAAATTGTTCTGATTTCAAGACAAAGCTTTTGCATTTCTTTCTTCCTCGTTATCAGAATGTGTGCTCATAAAAGCTGGAAAGCTTACAGGTTTGAAAAACAATTGGACTAGAGATGTATTGCAATGTGACTTTTTTGGTGTTGCATTGTTGAGTCAAGATTGAAAAAAAAGGTGCAGCCCAGAGCAGTCTCTGGTATAGATCTAGTTATGCCTTTCGGTGAGAGATGAGTTCTTGTCCTGGCCCACAGTAGCTACTGTTAATATCTCATTGTTTACTGATTACCTCTCTGTCTTGTAAAGCCACCCATTCTACTGACTGTAATTGAATTGGCTGTCAGTATTAGGTTCTTAGATTCACCATATGCTCTCAGTCTAATACTATTTATTCGAGATTAGTGGAAACAACACCAAGAAAGAGCAAACGAAAATCTAACAGAAGAGGTCACAGAACATCTTGTTGTGGCAGATGGTGTTGTAGCCATTGTGGAAGCTCTCCCGTGGGTGTTTCAGATGCTTACATATTCTTTACCTTTTGAATTTGAGGTGAATCTAAGGAAAGCGCAGAAAAAGAGAGAAGCGCCATTCCAGTGAATGGAGAAAGAATCTGAACTGCCCATATGGTGATTTTCAGGGGAAAGGTAAGTCTGTAGGAATGGCACAGATTTTCAGGATATCTGTCTGAACATGACTTTTGCTTCTGTGGTGGCGCTCATCTTTGTATCAAGTATGTTTGCATGGATTACTTTAAAGAAACAACAAAAAAACCAACCCTGTTATTTATGAGTCTCTGTTCCGTGGTACCCTTGCCAGAAGGTGTCTCACTTGCATGATCATCACAAAATTTGTCCATTTGTTTGCTATGAGATATCTGTAGGTGCACTGTGTGTTGCTAGTTTGATTTAAAATTATGTATTGCAGCCTGTCAGCAACATGGTTAAGAGAATATATTAACCTAAACTAGTTGATGAGTGTGCAAGGCTTGAATGAGCACAGCATATCTCATAAATGCTAGCTAGCAGCTGAAATATAAGAAATAACTGACTAGTGATGGGGGAGAAGGTTTACAAGTACTGCAGTGATCCTGCAGTGATCAGCAGAACAGGAGGAGATGAGAGGAGGTGAGAGATTCAGTGTTAGAGAGAAATGGGGAGTGCAGCCTGGGTGAGAGAGGAAATCCCTGGCCAGAGGAACAGGTGTAACCAGAAAGAGAGCACAACTGTTGGCAGCAGTGCTGCTGTGCCAGTGGTCCCATCCCTGTGCCCTGCTGGTCCCTTACCCAGCTGGATCCCATCTGTGTGAGATGTTCTCCCAGTGCTGTGCCTGGTCCTGCCACAGCGTTCTGTAGCTCTGATGGTCTTTCAGAATAATTAACCCAGTGAAGAACAGGAGATGTGAAGAAATGAGAGGGAGAGGAAAAAAGCACAGCTGAGAAGTTCTTTTATTGAATTTGGCTTCCCTTGTTGAAGGTTTGAAGCCACGAAAGATATTTTCAAGGAAGCAGGAGAGGTTGCTGAAGGAATGGATTATTCAGAATTTGAGAAGTGTTGATTACAAATTGCTCTGTGTATCCTTTAGGTTGCTAAGTGGAAAGAGTTTTTAATAACTATGCTGATAAACTTGGTATTTTACCTTGATATTTTTATTTATTTCTTTAGAAATATGCTAGTTTGCTGCATAAATAGGAAGGCATATTTAATCTCGCAGCGAGCAACAAGCACACTCAAATAATTCCCTAATATAGGAAGACGGGAGGATTTTTTTTCCTTTATTTTATTAGCATTTGGTATCTTTTTTACTTCAAATGGTCCACTAGTGTAGTGTTCACAAATTTTTCCTGCATGAAAAACTTTGGGGATTATCTGGCAGATCTCTGTGTCCTGGCCATGCATGAACCTCACCAAGAACAACGGAGTGGGGTGTATTTAAATATGGATAATTCTCAAACGCTTTAAGATTTAGAACATTAAAAAATAACATACTGCCAGGTAAACTCAATTCCTTAGCTCTGAGTGAAAGCTCTTGTCGCCTTTGCTTAGAAAACAGTTCAAGGACTGAGTTGCAAATTGAGGCTTTTTCCGAAGGAGAGCTTAAAGCAAGTTTCTTTTGTTTGCTGGGCAGAAAGATCTCCTGCAATAGCTGTTACCCAGTCACTCTTAATGGCTGTCCCCTGAGGCAGACAGGGCCTGTTTTGACTGTACTTATTGATCTGTGTTATGTAAACAATTACAATAGCATTCATGAGCCTTGAAAACAGTAAGTAAATATAGCACACATACTTTACTTAAATCAATAAGTTTGGTGGGGGGTATAATATGCATCCTGAAGCATAGCTTGAGGAGATTATCATGCTTTACAGTGCTGGAGAGGGCTCAGGTAATGTATTTAATAATGACAATGATAAAAATAAGGCTTAGCAAATTACCTGCTTCGTGTGGTACTGCAAAACCTCTCCTCTCAGCTGGCACAAACCTCTTCCAGCCCCAGGGTCCTTTCTGTTGGAACAACGAATACTTCAGGCAGCGCTTTGCTCAGCACAAGGGCAAATAGCTTTAAACTAAAAAAGGGGAGATTTAGATTAGGTGTTAGGAAGACATTTTGTACTCATATGGTGGTAAGGCACTGGAGCAGGCTGCCCAAACAGGTTGTGGATGCCCCAACTGTGGAGGCGTTCAAGACCAGCTTGGATAGGGCACTGGGCTGCCTGATCTGTTGGTTGGCAATCTTGCCCATGGCGGGGGATTGGAACTCAATGATCTTCGAGGTCCCCTGCAACCTGAGCCATTCTATGAAAGCAAGGTGTTGTTTCATCTGGGGATCTCAAGCACTGTAGCAATACAAATAATTTTGCGTAATGATTTCATTTTATTTACAGTCTCAGGCTTTGTCCAGAGACTGGCAGAGGAACCATTAGGCATGTCTGGGATTGTTATGAAACTCTTCCCTTAAAAGTGATTTATGTGACTGAGGGTGATATTGTAGAGTTGCACAGCATCCTCTGACTATTCTTCAAAGATGGCCTTCCTCCTGCTCCTGTGGAAGCCAGACTCAAGATGAATAAAGACTGGGCGGATCTGAAAAAAGCCTAACATGAACCAGCACATCAGGCCTATTTTCTGCCATTCATGTGGTCTGTCCACAGGAAAGGATAGAGCCATCCCTGCGAGGGCCTCGCTCTTCCCAGCTGGAGCTATAATCACTGCTGCACTGCTCTGTGGCCAAACTCCGTGCTGGGGGTGATAAATAGTTGATCAATGGGACAAAGTGGTGGGTGCTGGGATGCAGCACTGTGTCCTGTGTCCTGGGTTTGCTGCCTGACTTTGTAGGTTCTGTATGCCAACTGGTGATAGCAAAAGTGAAGTAATATTAGCCACTGAAAGTGTGCAATTGCAAATTCATATTCTCTGCAGACCACTCTGAGCACTGAACAGTCATTCCACAGAACCTGGCTCCAGCCAGAAACAATGAAAACAAGCATGACAGTGGTCAGAAATGGATTTGTGGACAGAAGCCTGGTAACTAGATGAACTCCTACTGTAACGAGCAGTATTGAAATACTGTAACTCCAGTGAATTTTAAATCAGGCCTTTTTAGGACATCTTCAAAATAACAGCCTCTGGTGAGAATGCATCTAATTTACTGAAATTCCCAGAGCTTGACACGTGACAGCCTCAGCAGTGCACAGTTCTCTCTGCTTGATGTGCAGCAGGATTGTCTTTCTCCCTTATGGACCCATCGATGTGGCGCGCCTGATCTGGTCAGCATCCCTGTAGTCTGTGCTACAAGGACACGCAAGTACATGTGATAAAAATGAAATTTTGTGCAGGGTTCAAGAGTACATTAAAAAAACCATTCATTTATACTTCTTGAATCCTTTTGAAATCCTTCAGCTGCAGAGTTAAATTGAAAGCTATCCTCGTGGAAAAGGCTTTGCTTCAAAGAAGGTAAAATGTACTACCACAGAACACTTCATGCTGGCAGACATGAGCTCTTTGCAGAATCCTGAAGTCTGTCCATGCTATCCCCAATGTTTTTCCTGAGCACACGTTATTGTTCTGGTTTTGCTTTAATTAGTCCCTCATAGTGTCACTCTGACAGATTACATTAGGCATCGCTAACAATATGCCTTGTAAATACAGTCGTTTGTTCTGTCCGCTGATTCTCTGTGCTCAGGCTGTTGTTTTCCATATCTGTTTAGTGCACATAATTGCATAATCATATCCTAGAAATAAACGTGAAATAGTTGCTAACCTTTTAACTGCTCCCATTTCTCAGCTGTTATTCTTGGTGTGTGACAGGTCTCGTAGTCTGCAGGATAGTAAATGTGCTCTTGTCAAGTGGCAGAAATGTTAACTGCGAGGGATAAGGAATATCAATTAATAATACAGTCTATTTGGAGCAGACTTGTTTATGACATGCAGGCAAACTTTTTCTGTCTTTCTTTTCTTAAACTGTGATCTTCACCATAATGTTTAAATCCTCTGTACTGAACATGCTTCCCAGCTAGAGGGCAAATCCAGTTCAGTCCAATCCCTTTCGTGCAGATGTCTAACCATCAGGTGAGATGCGTGGTGTAGTGCAGACCAGAGTCGTCGTGTGAACCACAGAACTTGAGTCTGAGTACAGGTCCTGAGCTAACACAGCAGTGTAGGCATCCAGTGCAGATTTTCAGGTCAAAATGGACCTTTAAGATCTGTATAGCGTTAACCACAGAATTTCTTTTGATTGTCCTGTTTGGAGTCCACCAGCTCATGTCTTTACTGAAACAGAGCTTCAAGACTGACTCCTGCCTTTACCAGAGAACACCAACAGACAGCCCACCCATTTGCTTTGCTCATTATTCTTACCACTAGTTTTTGTTTTGTTTTGTTTTTTATTTTAGTCTTCGTTGGAATGTTGTTGAAAGCTATGTTGTGGTTGGTTTTTTTTTTGTGTGTGCTTTTTTTTTTTTTGTGCAGCAAAATAAGATGGGAGAGATGATTTTTTTTTTTTTTTATTGTATATCATAATGACTTATTCTAAAATTTGGCGCTTATGTGGCCATTTGAAAATGTTCCATAAGAATAGAGACTATGTAGGAATAACAGACTTAGATTTGTGTCGTAGGCTGTTGCTTGAAGAGAGAGAAAACTTATTGTGGCTTCTCAGTGGGGAAATAATGAAACATGAACAGCAGCTTTCTTACCTTATGTTTATACAAAGCTTAAGGAAAGCATTGTATAAAGCAAAGGAAAAATATGGAACTTAAGACAAGAAAGCTTTAAACTATTCTTCAAGCATCCCAGGCATCTGATTTACAATGCCACTATTATGTGAGAGGGGACTTCAGAAAGCCATCAGATGTGATTAGGAGGTCTATGAATTGTGACAGATCCTTTTGGAAATGAGCATCCCTTGTCCCTGTGTGACTTCCCATGCTTTCCCAAGGATGTAGCTTGAGAGGTGCTTGGGATTCAGCATTTATGATGGAGTCTGTAACAAAAACCAGCATGGGAGCTGCAAGCAGGTATTTAAATAGTTTGAGTGAGAGTGTGAAATGGTTTAAAAAGCCATTCCTGAAGGTGCAATCACTTCTGGCACCAGAGTAGAAACACTTATGCATATTTCTGCACCCTGGGGCAGTTTTCAAGAATGTTGCTAACGTTAAATTTGAACTAAAAGGGCTTTAATTTTTCTTTTTGATGGGGAGCACTCATTATGCAAATAAGATAGCCTTTGGGCAGCTGTCTATTTTTCCATGTTTTTTCTTTTTTTTTTTTTTTTTTTTTTGAAGGATGCTAGTTTAAAATGGAAATTTCCACACTGGAGTTACCTATTTAGTCATACATTTTTAGTGTGCCTGGAAACGTGAAGTGAAACACAATCAGAAACAAGCATGATAAGTTAAGCACTATCCTGGCTTGAAAAGATCCTTGTTTCACTTTGGCACTCTCTGTGTTGTAACTCCCCCAGACAGGGAAGTTGCAGTAACTTCCATTTGTCCTTCACCTCATGCCACAGGTAAAACATTTTTTTGTTATCTCTCTAGTTGACCTTTGTTGGCCAGGATATGAAACGAACTAAATCCTACCACTCTTCCCGATCTAGACCCACATTGTCAATTTTTGGATCAGGGCAGTTTGGATGAGGGTTTCTCAGTGTTATAAGGGAAGTTGACCTCTGTATTCTGTCTTCCAGTACTCTTGCTGCCCTTCAGTTTTTTTCATGTAGTGGGTCTCTAGATTTGCCCAAATGAGAACATGCATCCAGACAGGCTTTGTCTGTGTGATTACATTGGGTAACAGAAGTGTTTGATGAGCATGGGTCTTATTCACCACCAGTAGAGTCAAAGAATTATTTGGAAGAGGATCCAAGAAAACAAGCTGTTGTATGACTCCCATGATATGAGAAAAGCCAATAGAGCAAGAATGCTTTTTATTTGCAAATATTTTTTTCCTCTCCTGGTATTTTCATTTTTCAGTCTCAAAATCTTGTGTAGGATGTAGAGGTTTTGGCCCCCATCAATGCCTGAAAATCTAGAGTAATTTTTAACCTATGGGGGAAAAGGCAGACTACAAGGAGCATTAAAAACTGGAAAACAAGAAAGCCATTTTAGTAACTTATTTTGATTTATCCCCTGTTGGCTATTCTGTCTCAGCAGCAGCTCACAAGAGCTGTACCACTGTAGTGTGAGGCTGATCTCATGTGGTGGCAAACAGATGGAGGCAAGAAACTGGTCATTCATCTCCAGCAGCTCAGTGAGACTCTGCAGCAATCTCTCCCTGGGAGCAGTGGAGAAAGAGAACCGGCCTGCCTTGTAAGTTGCTTGTTGTCTGGATGGAACTGTAAATCATCTGACTTGTTACCTGTGGGTCCTGCAGATATTTCCTTTCCACTCTGAGTTTCCTTACCAAGAGTTCTCATTTCTCCTGCTGGGATGATGGTAAAATATCTGCTTGTCAACATCCAAATAGAATTTGCTGTACAGGAATTTGCCTTCCCTCCTCGGTTTGGTTTGCTTAATTACATAATTGTTTACAAAATGCTTTGGATCTATCTGGAGGGAAGATCATCATGAAATGCGGCTCACTGTCCTGACAATGCAAACTGACATGGGTGAGCAAGGGCTGGGGGACCAAACCTCCTCTGTAAGGGAGATGCATTGCAGAAGATGGCCAGCTTGCTGAGGGGAGAGCAGGTGGCTTCCGTAGGTTAAGTGGGAGCTCTGCTCTCCTGGGGAGGGGAGCAGCAGCAATCTAAGTGCTGAGGCTGACAGGAAAAGTTAGTGGAAGTGCTTTCCTACATTGCAGGGCACAGCTGCAGTACAAAGCTTTGTTGAGCTTGAAGACTTGGTGTTGCTGAGCTTGCAGCTGGAGGCAGGAAAGGCTGTACACATTGAAATCTGCTTTTCATCCCTCCTTCTCAGTAAATAAACAGAGTGGATGCTATCAAGACCTCAGCTTTTTGGAAGCACGGGATGATGCAAAATGACCCCAGGGCGTTTCTAGATGAAGGGTGCACAACAATCCGCCACAGGGACATTGCTTAGTATCTTTGCCAAGCGCTCTGCTTGTCAGATGATCTTGTGCTTCTGCTTAAGGGTGATGGAATTTATGACCTCCCTTTAATCACTATGCAGAGGGAGACTGGGGCAGGACCCTTGAGCACTGTGCCATGCAGCTCCCAGGGTAATGCCTCACAGTGTTCCCTTCACCACTGTGGCTGCTTTCTGCTTGTAGCGAGCACTGTGCCAGTTCCTGCTTAAAGGTTTCTGCTTCTAGCTATTTTTTTAATGCTGGGAGCAACCTGAGTGCAGTGATCAGAATAGCTTTCTGTATTGCCAAACATATTTTGGAAAGAAGAATTACTATTACTTTATCAGCAAATCATTTCCCACAAACGCTTTATTCATCTGTGACGGAGGACAACTGAGAAGGCGGCTGGGGTGGTTGTGGCTGGTTGAACCATAGCTGGATCATATGGTAAATGTTTTCTTCACTCTTGCATCTGGATCATGTTTGGTACAGTTGTAGGGCCCTTTGAAGCCCATAATTTTAGTTTTCTGCTGCTTGGGAAAATAAATAGATCCTAAAAGAGAAACAACAAGCAAATTAAATCAAAACACATTTTCCGAAAATACACATAAACTTCCCTTTCCAGTAAGTAAGAAAATACCCCAAGGACACTGGATCTCAGCATTAAATCCAAGCCTCGGGAAACAGCCTCCATAAGACAAACAAGGAAAGAAATAAACCCCGCTGTCCTGCCAAGAGCAGCCACGTGCTTCCTATGTCTTCATTCTCGGAGGGAATGCTGCTCTCACCAGGAGGATCCATGCAAGGAAGAGAGCAATGAAGCCTCTTTGGACCCAACCAGATGTCTCTGCAGCTGAACAGGTGCAAATCCTGGGTGTTCTGTGTTTTTCTATAAACTAAGGTGCGGAGTACTTACTGAGCTATGGGTGAATTATTATAGCAGCTAAAGCAAAAGCAAAGCTGTGATTTCCCTTTTCCAAGAACACTGCAGGCTTTGTTCGCTCTCCCTGATAATTTTATTCCAAGGCAATACTGGTGACTTTAAGGAAATCCCTGTGTTCATCACAGAGTCAGACAGTAACACTGCCATTTTACACATGAAAGGGACAAGTACTGACCACGGTGTCACATACAGAATGGTTTCAGCTGTGTTCTTTTACTTCCTCTTCAAAAGAGCTGACTTTGGTGATCAGACATCAGACAAACATATCCCAAGTTTCACTCTGCATCCATGGCCTGCTCAGGGGATCTCCCTTCTGTATGGATGCAAAAAGCTCTGAAAGAGTATTCGGAGACTTAAAGAATCATTTTTTAAGAGTCGGAAGAGAGACCTAAGAACTGTTTTTATGATTTTCAGTTTGAACAGAGCCAGGTGCTTGATTAAAGTCTCAGCAGTTGGCATTTCAAAAGCCACAGCATGGACATGAGCTATCCACAAAATACAGTGAAAGAGAGAAGAAAGAGCAGTTCCCAGACCAGGGCTTTGTTTATGCTGAGAAAATAGGCAGATGTGATGGCTTCCACAATGCTGTAGGTAAAGGTCTTCTGAAGAGGTAAGGTGGCAGCTGGTACAGCAGGAGGAGACACTGACCTCGTGTCCCACTCCTGGGGCTTGAAAGGATGCTGGGCCAATTGCAGTCAGTTCATTTGACAAGAGTTCTCACAGATGGGCCTGGTATACCAGGGGTGACTTTTCTCTATGGTCGATGAAATAAGCCTGTGAGAGCTGGAGTGGGATTGCACAGATTTAGTTTCCTAGGTAAGTCGTTATCAATGCTTGTGGTGCTGAGCTTTATGGGGTACTTCCTGAATGATAACAAGACATAATTTTTATTTTATATCTCTCTCTGTACAGTATTGCCAACACCGCGAGAGATCTATAGGCACTTATCTGAGCTGAAAATCAGAGCCAAGCTGTGGAATTAAGACAGGAAAGCCTACTTCACAGATGACGGGGATGAAAACTCGTAACTCATCTGTCAGGGGAAGTTGAGCCCCAGCACGGTGTGATGTGGAGATGCGGTACATGACATCTGGGCACTCCCGGTGCGCTGCCAGCTGCAGCCATCTGGTGGGTATTTTCCTGTCTTTCATTTGGCTGCTCTTCAAAATGTCCTCATACAACTTTTTAAAGTTACTAATCTGGCAAATTCTGTTTCCTTGGGTATTTCTGACTGCCTCTGTTGCCATAAATGTGAGAAGACTGTAAGTGCCATAGGATGGGTCCATATGCTACCAAGCAGATATCACTCCAAGGCAGCTGGGATGGATTTCTTATATGCTGTGATGGTTTCTATCCTTTGCCAGGAAATGTCAAACGGTGCTTGATGTGTTAAACTGAAAATTCTGAACAAAATTCAGCAAGGAAAATAAATGCTATTTGGTGAGTAATTTGAACATCAGCTATTGTGAAATATGATTTTTCTTTCTAAAAGTAGCATCTTAATTTGTCTATTTACTATCAGTCTCAATTTTCTAGGTTTTCACAGATTTAGATTAAAAAAAAAAAAAAGCATTAAAAAAAACAAAACAAAACAAACAAAACCAAAGCCGCTTTGCTTCTAATGCATTGGAAAGCCCAGCGAAAGGCTTCAAGTTGAAACTCTAAAATGATTTAATTGATATTACTCAAGATTTACAATGGAATACATAATCCAACTGAAATTTCTGTTTTCTTTTAAGGCATATTTGCTACATGTCATTCCAAGAGAATTTTTAAAGCATGCAATATTTTTTCAACTTTTTACTTCAGACTGAATTTAGTATTCATGCTGACTTGTTGACAGTCTGCATAGGCTAGGTATGAATTACACTGTCATTGGATTTCAAAATCCGGACAATATTTGTGTAAAGCACACAAGTGAAATGTAATATGTTAAAATTCCATTACTATTCACAGGCTGAATACTCAGTGGATCGGCCAAACTGTTATAATTTCACTGAATTCAGTTGAACTTGGATCAATTTACCCATTCCTTTCCTTTAACACAGTTTTGTCCTGCTTTCTTTTCTGTGAAACTTCTCATGCTGACCTCCAAATTTCTTGGCAGAATTTTTTTTTTTTTTTTTTTTTTTTTTTTAAATCTGTGTTCTACAGATCCTCTCCCTCTATTTTTTCTCTTTTTCTCAGGGAGTCAAGTGGAAGCTGTAGCAAACTCAACATTGGGCAAATACTAAACAATATACAGCAGAAAAATGCAGTGATATGGGTGGTGTTTGGGGTTCAAGAGTTGAAAAACATACATTTATGCTTTGCATAAAAGATTAAGATCTTGATCCTGTTTTCATGGTGTCAGTGGGAGTTCTGCCACCATTCAGCAATGGAGGGATTAGATCTTTAAGATATCTGATGAAATGTTTTGGCCAAGGATTATACCCTTGAATACGCAAAAGCACACAAAAACTGCAGCCAAAATAGACTCAAAATATAGTACTTGTCTCTGGTGGCTGAACAGTATGTGAGATCCTGTATTGAAACCAGGACCGTTCTCTGTAATTCATTGAGCAGCTTTGGTAGAAAGAACAATTTTTCTGCAGGGGTATTTGATGAAAGGTTCAAATTTTGCTACCCAGAATAGGTTGATTGGCATATATATTGATAAGAAAGGGGCTTACAGAAGGCATAGGAACTTATAATGGATCTCAATGGATCCTAGGGACTAGGCTCTACTTGCACAGGAAAGCCTTGATTCTTCCCACTTCTTAGGAGGCTCTTTCACTGTTTATCTATTAACCTCTTGTAGGACAGGTGAAATAAACCTCAGAGACAGCACAATCACGTACGTTTTAAGATACAGGAATTTATAAAGCATGAAGAAAATTATACTTTTAAGACCTCTGCTGAGTTGTGATTGTAAGATCTGCCAAAGGATATACGCAGCCAGTGTGTCCCTATGGTTTGTATTTCCTAGGGGCAAACCCCCAGGTTTGCACAAGAAAAACAGCAGTACATACTGTCACATGTAAGTCAGTACCCAAGCAGCATTTGTGGAAGAAAGAGGATGAAAATGCTAGAAAAAAGATTGAAAAATGGTAGGGAGTTGCCAGGTGGCAGCTGCTGCTTGGAGACTGGCTGGGCATCGGTTGGTGGATGGTGAGCAATTCCTTGTGCATCACTAGTTTTGTATATGTATTTTATATATCATTATTGTTATTACTATTGTATTTTTCCTGTCTTTTCTTTCTTTGTACATTTTCTTTCAGCCCACGAGTTCTGATTTTTTTCCTTGTATATCCTTACCTGACTACAGACAAGCATATTCTGCTTTCTGCAGCTCCACAAGCACGTCCCCGGTAGCAATACCACCACTGCAGCCTTAAGCTTTTTCTGTCTGCTGCTGAACTGTCTTTCTGTTATGTTGGTAGAAAGGTTTTGAGGGGCAGCTTTATCAGATTTAGGCAGCATTGCCCTCAAATACAAAAGATCAGCCAGGGCTAGACTGTTAAAGGTATATTGACAGGTCTCTGAGTGCAGTCTCTCTTACTAAGCAGGGTTAGTTGTACCCAGACCTTCCCAACAGATGACTGTAGGGGCGTGCATGAGCAGCTGCTGAAGGCCATTTCCTCTTAAGCAAGATGGACTGGTATTGGAGCCACATCGCAGCAGCTTGAGGATGACTGTGTGGAGAGGTCAAGAGTCACTGGAGGCCATATTGAGGTATGACAGCTCAGGAACCTACTCCATTTTTATGTACAGTAAACTTTCAAAACGAGCATTTGGAAGTCCCTTTCTGCTACTCATAATCTATCCCTTACCTTTTATGACCTGCAGGGGCTGTATGATGAAGGACTTTGCCACCCTAACCAACAAATCCAGAATAGAAAACTGAAAAATAAGGGGAAAGATCAAAAAGTTGAAGACTCTTTTATTGCTGTTTTCTGGCTGGTAAGATTTTTGGTGCATTATTCCCAAAACAGCTAGAATGTACAGACAATGAAAAAGCAATGAACGACTTTTTCCAGAAACGTTTTCTGTCTTCTGTCTCCCATCTGATGCTCAGCTTCCCCACATGATACAAGCACGTACAGTTGTCTCCCTGCTGAAAGGCTGCTGAGTTAACAACTGAGCTGTACATCCCTCTGTCTGGATGTGTGGACAGTTGGATCCCAGATGGATGAAAACTCATTCCTATGATGAAATAGGAAAGAGTCAAGGCTGCTTCAGTCCCTTCCTGTTGGTTTTCCTCATTCAAAACAGGAAAACTCAGATCTGTCTGGAGGGGGGATGACTTTTAGCAAATAGTAGTATTTGTAAGGTAATGTCTGCTGTGTTTTGTGACTGCTGATTGTTCTGTATTTCCTCAAGGTGTTTGATTCTTTTCAAGTCATTGTTATGAGGAAGAATATGTTTGCAGAAAAAACTTTGGCACTTCATCTGAGTTCTCACATTTCCCTCTGTGAACTCCACACCTCTGATGAAGAACCAAACAGGAATGGGAGCAGCTGCTCTGTATGGAGGAGGTATGTCATAAGAGTTTTTGTTTTACATTGCTTTTAACAACAGTCGTTCATCTCAAAAGATGGCTGTGTATTAATATTCAATATTCAAACTCTGTTGGAGATTACCTTGGTCCATAGCATGCCAGCTATAGCTATGAGAGCAGATAGATTATTACTTAACCCCTGAGTTGCCTCTTCTCAGTAGTTGTAGGCCAAGGTCAACAAGGCCAAATGTGCACCAGAGCTAGAGCTGCTTTGTTTGGAGGAGGGAAAAAGAGCATAGCTTCTGGCTGGCACAAAATACACAAGGTCAGCTTACCTGTAACAGGCTTCTGTGCCCTTAGGTTAAATGGCAGAGAAAAGACATTGCTCCTAGGAAAATCCCCAGTGCCTAGGGGACAGATCAGAGATGTTACCTGTCCTCTTCTAACATGTTTATATTCTGCATGTGTCTGTGCTAAAAGTTCAGGTGTTACATTATTTTATTGCATGTGGGGTAGTATGTACTAGATAGTTCTAGCAATGCAAAAATACAACAGCATCCTATCGGTTGCAGGTAGAACTTTCCACTTTAACTGGAAGAAATAACTTAAGTGGAAATACATTTGTTGTGCAGACTACTTTACACCCCAAAAGCCAGCTCTTTCTTCTAAACATATGAAGGCCTAACTGATTCTGTGGGAAGAAGCTATCAAGTTGAGTAGAGTATGGTAGAAAACACTGCAGAGGTGTTATAAATGAAGCTGAAGATGTAGAAACTATACAATTTGATCAGGAAAAAAAATCTCAGAATCTTAAAATTTGCAGATTTAAAAAAAAGCAGAAAGATAAAATTCCAGTAAAAACCAACTTTTTATGAGTTGAAGTGCTGCTTACATTCTTGCTACTTCTTAAGCACAAGTACTTGTTTTCATAACTTTTACAATTTCCTTCATCTTGAATTGGAAGCAGATCTGCTACGTGGCCAAACCAGAGTCACAGTTGGGATGATTTGTGCTATTGTGGCCTTTTTGTTAAGCATACTATGGGGAAGAACTGCCAAATATTTTGTGTGATTGAAGATATAGGACGTGGCTTGCTCAAGAGAATAGATGTGATGGATGCTCCAAGTGGTGTCTTGCACGAATTCAGTTCCTGTGCATCAGTCTGGCAGTCATGGAAGATACTGAATGCTCTACTGAGATGCTGCCTTTAACAGTGGAAATTCTTTGAGCTCACTGACCAGGACTGGATCATTAATCAGCACTGTCTGTTTGCTGAGTGCTTTTGGAACTAGGTTAGCAATGTTCTGGTTACCTGTGAACAGAAATCTGCCCAGGTGCAGAAGGACCAGGCAGAATTGAAAAACGTATTGTTGGTCACTCCTTTCAGGGCAGTCAGGAATGGAAAATCTCCAAAGGTTCGCTCTGTCCTGGGCTGGAGAGGCCACCATGGCTAGCTGCACATTGCTAGCTGATGCAAATGTCTAAGACTTGTAACACCACTGACCTTGTCCTTTGAACAGCGTGTTTCATTTTCTGAATTTGCCAGTTGGGTACATTCCTTGAAAATAGCATTTGCTTGGAAATAAACTATAGTCAAGGCTGGCTAAAAATTGACAGCAGTGTAATAGGGTTATGAGAAAGAGAATGTTAAGAATTTCAAATAGCTCTCTTTTGCAGATCTGAGCCTTTTCCTTCCCTGTAGCTGTCAGCAGCTTAGCACAGAGAGAGTGACTACAGGAACAAAACTTAGGCAGTAAAGCTGTCACGAGGAGGACTTTGAATAGGGAGAAATGATTCCTGTTTAATCCAAGGTTAGTGGAAAATACAGAAACTGAAATAACATCAGAAGCCCACAAGAACACAGAAAACTGTATCTGCATTTTTTTTGTCTTCACAAAGGAATGTTACAGGGTTAAAAAAAATCCCAGAGCAGAGATTTTGTAAGCAAATCATGCTGTATCACCTGTAGTTTTCCCTCCCACTGAGAAGGGAACTTGGATATTCTGGGAACTCTATAAATACACTATAAAACAACCACTTAGTCAAGACTTTCTGTGTTAATTAGGTAAATGTATGCATGACTTTGAGCCCATGAGTAGATGTTTGCGCTATTATTTGTACTTAAGTAAAGCAGATGCTTAAATGTTTATTAAATATGGATCTAAATCTCAAAATGGACCAAGGAAGGTATAACTGGAGAGATACTGCAGAGATATTTTACATAATTTAGTCTATTTCCCATATGTCTGACTTGAAGCTGAATGATTTCTATGAGTCCAGTGCATCTATATGGCTCGCTCCAGGGTTATCAGTGTTTTGTTCTTTTTTTTGCAGGAGTAGTTCTTATCCTACAGTCCCAAGTGGTGTGAAGGTGGAACTGAAGGCAGGACTCTACTGGCATTGATAAACTTGATAAATTCTACAGACAAGAGAACTAAAAACCAGGATAGATATCTACTTTGTGAATTGTTCTGAATTATCAGCATCTTTTTATTCTTGAATTACAGCAGACTTTCAGATTTCAAGATTTCACCAAGAGCAACATCTTTGAAAATCTATTACTTTAGATCTCAGCTTTTTCATTATTATCTCTAAATGTACATTTTGCATCATTTGCTTTATTACTATGGAAAATTTACTATGCTCCATTTCCATTTCTGATGCTCGTTTTTACTGAAAGCAATGTGTTCCCATGAAAATAATGTAATTTGACACATTTTCTAACAGAAGGATGTGTTTTCTTAGAAGATCTTTAACAAGCTTTAGATGTCAGCATAAATGTAATTAATCAAAAAAGCAATCTAAAGGATGGCTATTTGTAATGCCAGTAAGGCTACTAAATGGCATGTCTGCTGCAGTTATGATCAAACAGAACAATAACAATAAATCTATGACTCTATGAATAACACTCAAAATAACAGGGACAGTTACTTGTACAAAATTGAAACCCATGGATTTTCCATGTTTAATCTGACAGGATCCAGAGCACATTGGAAGAATTTCAAATAGCTGTCTTTTGCAAAGAATTCAGTTTATGTGCATTAAAATTTTAGAAAATATTCCAAAGGAGAGGAATTCCTATCCTTTTGTTGCCTTATTGCCCAGGAATACAGCTCTGCCAGGTGTGGTTTGGAAAACAGGCAATCAGAAGTTTTCAGAGAAGTGCTTCTATGCTTGCATTGGCCTGGCAAGCATGGGTATGCCAAATCCAGAATCTCAGAGAACTGCAAGCTGCTTGGCTGCGAATTAGCTTTGATATGAAAACACTGCTTGTAGAAACTTGAAGCTTATATCAGTTTCAATTTTGTGGGTGCACGGCTTACTAGCTGCATCTTCTAACAGCAATGCACATTAATGAAGCCTGTATTTTTCTGCTCATAAATCAGTAAGAATGGAAACGAACAGATGGATTGACTTTTCACAGGCATCCCCAGACAAGATGCAGGAGTGCACCAATTCTCTTCTCTGTGAAACACAGAAAAATCATTTATGCTAAGACCTTGTCATCTAAACATCATTCCATGCTTTGTTAATTTCTGAGCACCTCTGCTGTATTTTTTCTATTTTTTCCTTCTCTTATGCATTGCTAACTAATTAGAGTAGGACCTTTTATCCACGTATAGCAGTGAACAATTTCCTCATTCTTCAGCAATGATTATATCATGTTTATTACAAGTTTAATTTATTTTCTGTTTGCTAAGGATGAGCATCAGGGAAGATAATGACAGTGTGATGTCAGACGTTCATAGGAAATACACCTTACATTTTGAAAATATGTAAAAATAGAGAAATAATACTGAAAACGCATAAATAAAGAACACAACATCTTTTTCCCATTGCTCTTAAAAATGTGTTACAAACCAGTTGAGAAACCTGCTCAAAAGCAGAGAGTTTCTTGAGTAATTCCTGAGTCTGTATAGAAGGAGATGTGTGGATTTCTTCAGGAAGCCTGGGTACAGACATACAGACAAGGGTGAGTGGATCCATCTAGCTCCATGTCTTGCCTGGTGAGGACCAGGGAAGGATCTTTAACGATGTCAGATCTAATTATTTTCCAAGCTGGACAGTCCTTGTGTCCTTTGTCTTCTCCACATACAATAATAATCCATCCTGCTCATTCTCTAGGGCTGCAGAGCAGTCTGTGAGATGGTTGGCATCACCACTTGCTGTACTGGAGGCACCAGACATGGACATTAAGCTCAGTGAAAAGAAACAGGTAACTCCATTGAGTCTTTGGACCCACCTTGCTTTATGTAATAAAATTCAAAGGTAGAGCTGACTTTCAGAAAGATGATTATGCGTAATCGGGTAGATAAGCAATCTTACTAAATCAGCAAACTATGGCATGTCCCCAAGTTGCCCTATGAATCAAAACCCATATGTGTATAACTTAAAAGTTTATTCTTAAATTTATGGTTTATTTAAGATCAACGATATGCATGATGACTAATGACTAACTGTTCCAGTCCCCATAAAATGCATGAATGCCCCAGAGAATGATACATCTTCTTCAAATGAATAGAGCCTGACAGTTGAGGATCACGTGTTCTCCCAACCTTCTGATAAATGTTCTTTCTATTACTTTCAATAGACTTTGATACATTAAACTGGATAATTTATTCTCTGTAATTTATCTTTATCTTTGTTCTCGTGGGTATCAGCTCATCTCTATCTTTTCTTCCTCCTTTCTTCTGATGCAGTGCATCAGCATTAGGAACAATAAACATAAATCAGGTAAGTTCAAATTAATATTATGGCATCTTCTTGGTTAGACTAGAAAATGACTAGTGAAGAACTATGCAATATATCTTCTATACAGTGGAAATTCTGTACGTCTACACTACTGATAATTTCACTCAGTCCTTAATTCACTTGATAATTCAGTCCTATAGTGCATTGCTATGGGTAGTTCCCTACAGACTAAGAACAAAAGAACAAGTGCTGGCTGAGTGGATTTTACTTTGTACTTCTGCTGAGTTGAACATGGATTAGAAAGCTATGATAGTAAGAGAGATCTGCCTTTTTTTTTTTTTTTTTTTTTTTTTTTTTTTTTTAGACAGTTTCAGAAACAGCATTTGTTTGCATGATATTATTCAACAAACCATCTATCCATCCATTCATTTGAAATATGAAAGAAATTCTGGCTAAGGCCATCCTCAAGTCAGAGCTTTAAGTATTTCTCATCTGTACATTGTTCTGCAGTTTGTATAAACTTAATTGGGTCTGGTTCAGTCCCAATAAATAGGGCCTAAAATCCAGAACTGTTCTTTATTTTTTTCTTCGATTTTGCAAGAGATTAGGAATCTGCACCAGGCATCTTAGATATTTTATTTATATAGAGATATATTATTTATTGTACGCACATAAAGTATATATTAAATATATATAAAATAATATATATATATATAAAATATTTTCCTGATTTTTCTTTTCTGTAGCAGAACCTTTTCCTTCACAAAACTGGGGCTATGAGGAAAAAAAAAAAAAAAAACAAAAAGCACAGCCTCACTAAAGCAAATAGAAAGATAGAAGGAGAAATGGCTCTGATGCTAAGTGCTGCAGTCATAAGCATAAATAGAGAAATGGGGCATTTCCAGATGCCACTTCTAAATAGACAGACATGGAAATGAAAAGGTGAGCTCTTTCATTTGGTTCACTTCTCAGAAAGGTGTGGAGCGACCTCAATGGAGAACCAGAGGAGAATTAGAAGGATTGATTAATACAAAAATGATCTATTTGGGTTAGAAGATCAAAATACAAAGGATATGAAGTGGAGAAGATGGATTGTCTATGTCAATCGAAACAAGGTCAGTTCTTTTCTTATGTGTCATTTCAGAGGGAACAAGCTTGCAGTGCAGAATTCTCAGAGTTTATTCACCATTGTATTGTGGTGTGGGGAAAAAGCCTCAGAGATATTCAAACTGCAGGAACCAATGTTGATTCCTGGTTTTCATTCAAGCTGTTTCAGCCAAGTATACTGCAAAATCTGTGATAACAATACAAACTGCCTTCTTTATTTTTAACAAAGATAGTAGGACAATTTTAAGTAAATTTTCCTTCTACGTAATGCATTTCTTTAGGGATTAACAATGTTTTTGCTTCGGTAGGACATTTATTCCCCAGTGATGGACCAGTTTGATCATTAGAATAAGCTGCCACTAAGGTGTTATCTTGTTCTCTGTCATTTATTCAAGGTTGCTGAAAGAGGACTAAACCTCTTCTGAATATTAAGTATTCAGATATTCTTTTTTACTACTTTCAAAGTAAGGAAAGTGGGGAAACAGTTTCTAGTTGTTGTAGTTGTTGTAGTTTCTAGTTGTAGTTGTCTAGTGAACTGAGAGTAGGAAGTACTGGCCCGTATATCGACCAGTACTCCAAAGAGTTTTCAGGTGGAAGTATATCCGTGTAGCACTGTAAAAGCATTGTGACTGTTGCACAGATGAAAAAGGGGGATGGCATGGCCTGTATCTGAGCCAATACTGTGCTGTGTCCTAAGGGTATTGGAACCCTTTGAGACAGCATGTGTTTATTAACGTACAAGTTAAATTTCCACGCAGTATCATCTTCAGTATGAAAAGGACTTGGGAGACTCTTTGGCTGCTGTAGTTTTCCTCCCTGCAGTGAATAAATAATCCTTGAAAAAAGGTGTCTCCAGATTTTTTTTTTAATGATCAGTCGAAGTAGCTCAGGTACCATTTCATCTTTCACTCTAAAAAAAATTTAAGAAAATGAGATCTGGAGATGAGAGCTTATGCTATTTCATATTGACATTACAATGTTGATTTGGCAGGCTTGACTAAATTTCTTAATCACAGAAGCACAAGGTTGGAAACAACCTGCAAGATCATCTAGTCCAACCACCCTCCCATTCCTATTAGTATCACAAGCTACTAAACCAAACCATTTAATGGGAATGTTTTTTTTTTTTAAATAACACTATGTTCTTGTTCTTAGACACCTAATAGTTCTTTCAGAGAATTGATTTGAAGTCTGGATTTAAAGTCCCCATCTCCCCCACTCCTCCTGAATAATACAGCCATAGAATTATTAAGGTTTGAAGAGGCCACTAAGAACACCAAGTCCAGCTGTCAGCCCATCCCCACAATCCCCAATAAACCACATTCCTTAGTGCTACATCTACCCTTTTCTTGAAAAGCTCCAAGATTTGTGATTCCACCACTTCCCTGGGCAGACTGTACCACTACTACTTGGTCATTGCAAACATCCATGTCCCCTGTCAGAGGGGTTTATGTTGGCAGCCCTCTCTTCCCCCTCTCCTCTTGGCAGAAGTGGGGCCATTGCTGCAACCTGGCTTCACTCCACAACTCCAGGGCTGGGAACCATCAGAAGTGATTTCTCCAAGGACCCATTCCAGAGCTCAAATTAGCAATGAACCATAAACTGACCAAACATAGGATTTTGGACTGAATTTATGATGGATTGTCCCAAGTTTAATTTCTAGCTCTGTTCTGTTGTTACAAACTTTCACCCCTTGATTTTCCCCCAGGTAATTAACATAATGTCATTGCTTTAAAACATGTCATTTGCTCAATAACAGTCCCAATTACTCAAGGGTTACTGACTTTGGACTTTCAAAATGCACTACAGGAAGTACCATGACCCTAGTTATTACAGACACATTCATGGGTCAAAGACCGTGCGGTCAGCCTTCTTGTCCTGACCAATCATTAACCAAGAGGAACATGGTGAAGCTGCTGCTGATTTTTCCTGAGTTACTTTAACAGACTGACCACAGGGCATGTTCCTTCGTCCTTAGAAGAGTTCCAGAAGATTAGTCAGCTAAACCTGATCGGACTTCTGGAAAGCTGGAAAGATCTTGGCTCAGCCTAATAGAAACTAAGGTTGGAAATACTTTTGAGTGCTGCAATATCTGCCATATGTTCCTCATTCTTACTGTTTTTTTCCATTAGCCCAAATCTAGCAATAAACACTTTCTCCATATCTACTTCACTGAAAGTTTTATTGACCTGATATTGCAGATGTGTAAGACAGAAGAACTACAAATCACGTTTTGTTTCAACTGTTGTCCTTGCAACAGGTTTTTGGATGGCTTTCAATAGAGAAAGGGAGAAAAAGAGACTGTAATTTTGCAGTCCAAAGTACTGAAAAAAATGTATGGAAAAGATACAAAGTTAAGGTGAAGGTAGGTAAGGATTTAGCTGCATGAGTGAATAAAAAGGATGGCAGTTATAAAGATTGTAATGAATAAGCAGAGATGACAGAACAGTTGGGTCAGTTGTAGAGTGAGACGTGGGCTTGTTTAAAGGCAAGAGAAACTGAGAGAACTGACAAGCTTAATGGGAACTCAAATCTGGGGCTATTTACATGCGCTCTAAGAGCTCAAACTGAATCTAGGCTATTTTATTGGGTGCTGACTTGGTGTATCCATAGAAAATTGTATGCAATATTCAAGGCAAAATGTTCTCATCTGTGTGGTTGGAGGGACAAATCATTCCCAGAGTATTTCTCTAAATGGGGAGCTTTGTGATGTGATCACCTAATGTTTTCACCTGAGCAGAGAGGCCTGGTTACATTGTAGTCAGACCTTATTTTGTATTACTAGGAAATGCATTCCTTCACCCACACAATAGATTAAAAAAACATACGCGTATCTCAGATTCATTTCTGTATGCACTACAGAATTGAGATTGTCAGGAAACCTTGCATTAAAACCTTCAGTCCTGATTAGAAGATGGCATGCTGAGTACTTCAACTCATTTTGCTCTTCAAAACAAGCTATTATGAGGGTATCTGGCCCTTCATACTTAATGAGAGCTTTCCTATTGAGATGCAACAATGGTGCATCCGATATGAAATTTTGGTTATAAGTGTGACTTTTTTTTTAAAGCACCTCCTTGAAAAATAAAAGGCTGAATTCTGCTTTTTTTCAAGGCTCAGATGATACTGAATACATTGGTTTGAATCTGGATAATGCCATTTCCCTTGAGGATCACTTTTACCTTTCAATTCCATAATTTCAGCCCATTCTACGAACCTTTCAGGTTAATGTATTGTTTCAAGGCACGTAGATTGAAACTTGTTTAGAGCAGAAGACCCAACCTTTGGGATAGCAGAAGAATATCTATGGCTTAGAGGGAAGAACCAGGAAATACGAGGTCCCAGGGCTGGAATGCCTGAAGGATTAGAAAACCAATGATATCCTCTGGAGCTACAAGTAAATCCACTTCCAAAAAAATGGATGGAGGCAGCTGGAGTTCAGGAAGACAGTGCCAATTGCCAGTTACAGATACCTGACTTCTCCCACTGGATGGATTGGCAGAAGCAGGAAGGACAAGCAGAAATCACTTGCATGGCTGCATACACTTGGCTGCACAGGAGCCAACAGCAAGGCTGGACTGGGCTTTTTCCCACAGTAACCCTGAGAATGACCAGGCTTTGGTGTGGTGCATGCAATAGGTACTGATTTCAAAGGAATCTTTTTCAGTGAGCTTCAAAACTGTGTGCTGCTGTTCTTGAGGTCACTCAGTGATCCTAGTGATCTTGGCTTGTTTTAGCAGCATTCATTGCAGGTGAGTCTCCTTATCTCCAAATTGGAGGGATGTGGATTTAATGGGTGGACCAATCCATGGATAAGGGATTGGTTGAAAGGTTGCAGACAGAAGGTGGTGATTAATGGATTTATGTCCAGGTGGAGGCTGGTAACAGGCAGCATCCCTCAGGGTCTGTTCTGGGACCGGTGCTCTTTAACATCTGTATCAATGACATAGATGACAGAACTGAGTGCACCCTCAGCAAGTCTGTTGATGACACCAAGCTGAGTGGTGCTGTTGACACAGTGGAAGGAAGGGGTGCCATTCAGAGGGACCTCAACAGGCTTGAAAGGTGGGCCCAGGTGAACCTGATGAGGTTCAGCATGGCAAAGTGTAGAGTTTTGCACTTGGGCTAGAGGAATCCCCAGGCATCCATACAGACAGGAAGGAACAATCCTTGAGAGCAGTCTTGCAGAGAAGGACCTGGGGGTCTTGATAGATGAAAAGCCTAACATGAGCCAGCAGTGTGCTCTCACAGCTCAGAAAGCAAATGGTATCCTGGGCTCCATCAGAACATCCCTGGGGTGGTCAGCAGGGACAGGGAGTGATCCTCCCTCTCTACTCTGCTCTAATGAGGCCCTGTCTGCAGTACTGTGTCCAGGTGTGGAGCTCCCACTACAAGACAGACAAATCTGCTGGAGAGGATGCAGAGGAGAGCCACAAAGATGATCAGGGGACTGGAATACCTTCCCTACAAAGGGAACACATCCCCTACAAAGAGAAGCTGAGAGAACTGGGCTTGTTCAGCCTGGAGAAAAGAAGGCTTTGGGGTGACCTTATTGCAGTCTTCCAGTACCTAAAGGGAGCCTATGAACAGCACCATTCAAACTAAATGCAATCCTCTACCTCTTTCTACTCTTGGAGTAGATTTCTTTTTCTCAGGATGGACACAGCAATGAATTACTTCCTCTGATTAATGGGTTGAAAATACTTCAAGTCTCTTTTCCAGTTTGAAAATGAACCCACAGAGTGGAAATCCAAGCTGAGTCAGCCTTTTTGATCAGTTTTCTGTGAAAGAATCCTTATTTTCAATTATCTAACCCAGTGGCTGCTGAAGTAGTGGTGCTTCTAAGTTACCGACATAAGAAATTAGTTCCTAAGGCAAATGGTCTTGCTGTGCTTCCATTTTCAAATATAATTCCACTGAATGACACTTGATTTTCAAAGTGCAAATCAACATGGAGAACTTCCTTAGACATTAAGTGTTATTGAGCACTGCTGTTTTATGAAGGACAAATTAAAGCTCTCAAAGCACGATTCTTTCTGAGACCACTGCTTGAACTCTCTCTCCCTGAATAGGTCTTGCAAGGATCTTGGCTTCGCAAGGCAGCCTGGGGACCTTGACAAGCACAGATTTTTGGCTCCAGCGATGAGCTCAGAATCAGTACAGGAAAGTGCTGCAAGTAGAGGCAGGGTTTGGATGAAATCCAGAGCTCTTGTCCCAAAGCCATCCGAGGCAGATAATTTCTGGTACTTTTAAAACATTGCAAGGGTGAAATCAGTGAAAGATCTGTAAGTAGAGACCCCTTTGAACACACAGGAAAAAGACCTTTCAGTCAGACACCATCTCAGAGATATCTTCAGAGTCCTGAGTGCTTACATGTCCCTGTATATCTAGTCTGACATCATGCACTTCATTCAGCAGCTGTTCTCAAGTGCAGTAACTACATCAGTGTAATGAGATAATGTCCCTGGTGCTG